CAAAATGGCTATACTACCCAAAGCAATATAGATTCAGTGCAATCCCTATCAAAATACCAATAACATACTTCACAAGACCAAATTAATTTGAAAGAATAAGAGACCCAGAATAAATAACCAAAGGAATTATGAGCAAGAAGAGTGAAGCAGGAGGCATTTCAATACCTATTCTCAAATTTTACTACAGAGTTATATGACAAAAGCAGCTTGGTATTGGCATAAAAACAAACCTGAAGATCAATGAAAGAGAATAGAAAACAGAGGAAAACCCCACAGATACAGTCATCTGATCTTTGACAAGGGAGCCAAAATCATACACTGGAGAAAATATAGCCTTTTTAACTAATGGTGCTGGGAAAACTGGATATCCAAATGTGAAAGAATGAAACTAGATAGATAGATTGCTATCTATCTAGGAGTTTCCTCTAAAAATCTTCCACGACTCAAAGTGGATCAAAGACACAGGAATTAGATCAGAAATTTTGCAAACTCATAGAAGAAAACACAGGTCAATATTCTAATATTTAGGCATAGACATTGAGTTCTTTAGTAAGATTCCTAAAGTTCAAGAAATAAAACCAAGAATCAGAAAATGGAACAGCATCAAATTAAAAAGCTTTTGCACAGTAAAGGAAACAAGAGCATAAAAACAGAGCCGAGCCAGGTGAGGTGGCACACACCTGTAATCCCAGCAGCTCAGGAGGCTGAAGCAAGAGGACTGTGAGTTCAAAGCCATCCTCAGCAAAAGCAAGAAAGATACTAAGCAACTCAGTGAGAACCTTTCTTTAAATAAAATGCAAAAAAAAAAAAAAAAAAAAAGGGGGGGGGTGGGGGGGGAGGAGAGAGAGAGAGAGAGAAGAGAAGAGAAGAGAGAGCCAAAAAATTGGGAGAAAGTCTTTCACATCTACCTTTCTGACAGAAATAATATCAGAAATCTTAACACCAAATAAGCAAGTAAATAGTCAATAAGTGGGCAAATATATGAAAAACCTTCTACATATTTAGCAATCAGAGAATTGTAAATCAAAAACTACACTGAGATTTCATCTCATCCCAGTCAAAATGGCAAGCATCAAGACTATAACATGAAATGCTGGTGAGGATGTGGGGAAAAATGAACACTTATACTTTGTTGGTGGGATTGCAATTTAATACAAGCACAATGGAAATCAGTAGGAGTTCCCTCAAAGGACTCAAAATGGAACTGCCATATTACCCAGCTATCCCACTGATAGGTATTTATCCAAAAGAACTAAAATCAACATGCTATAGTGATACCTGCATTCCAATGTTTATGGCAGCAAAATTCACAATAGTCAAGTTACGGAGTCTTCCTTGGTATCTTTCAACAAATGTTGATAAAGAAAATATGGTATATATACACAATGGAGTTTTATTCATCATAGAGAAGAGTGAAATTATGTTATTTGCTGGTAAGTGGATGAAAGAGGAGAATATCAAGCTAAATGAAATAAACAGAACAGAAAGTCAAAGGTTGAATGTTTTCCCATATGCAGAAGCTAGAGAGAAATAAGAAATAAACAAAAGAGATCTCAGGAAAGCATATGGGAGAACACGAAGTAGACTAAGGGAAGGGGTTTGGGAATCAAGAGGGAGGGAATAGAAATGGGAAAGAGAAGAAGGTACTCGGGAATGAAACTGGCAAATTATGCTATATGCGTGTACAAACACAGCACAACAAATTCCATTTTATGTATAATTATAATGCCCCAATTAAAATCAATAAGTAGCAGGGAGACTAGTAGTGTACAGGAGGAGGAGAGAAAAAGAGGAAGCACTGGGAAATGAAATGCAGCAAACTCTTATGTGCATGTATGAATGTGTCATAATGAATCCCACTATCATGTATAAATATGATGGACTCATAAAAATGTAAAAAAAAAAACAGTAAAAAGAGTTTTCTGCTTCCTGTTCCATGTGTTCTTTACCTTTTTATCTGTTTTATTTGTCTTTATACTTGTAATTATTGTAGTCTATACATAACCTAAGTATTTAATCATTTATTTTTAAATTTGCCTTTTCAACTGGAATATAGGCTCCATGAGGCCAGGGAATGTGTCTTATACATAAATTCAATCTATGTCTCTAAACCACTGAATGCATTAGGAGCCTCTCAATGGTTGTCAAACAGCTGAAGTAAATGACTAACATGATACAAACTGCATAACACTTGGTATATTACTTTTAGGGGCTTATAAACTTGCATGGAAGAAGACATATTCACAACCATTACACATACAATTGCCTCAGTCACTAAGTTTTAAAGTGGCTGTTGAAATGAGTGATACATTTTATTATATTCAATCAAGAGTTAATTGGTAGATTTCCAAATCCCTTTGTGTATATTCACTAAACTGAGAACAGAACTAAAAACTGTTAATTCAATCTGATTGGTTGGTCACTGGAAATCAAATTATGTCTTGTGAATCAGGAGACACTTAGAAAGAATACTAAGAATATGCTATATATAATGTGATTAGTAGACATTTCTTTTTATAGATTTGCTAGTCAGTGAAATGTACAAATCTAATTTAGTTGCATGGCTTTTCTATTACTTTTATTTCATAAAAATTAATAAGGGATCCTAATTAGAATAAGTTATACTCCATGTATGTATAATATGTCAAAATACACTCTACTGTCATGTTTATCTAAAAAGAATAACTTAAAAAAATTTTCAAGAAGACATTGCTTTGAACCAGGTTCCTGCATTGGGACTCAACAGGTCAGACTAAAAATCAAAATGGAGTCACAGAGGCTTACATGCCATATCAACAAACAAACAAATTATCTCTTCTGAAAACCCAGAGGGGAGGGGAGGGGAGGAGACAGGAGAGAGAGAGGGAGAGAAAGTGGGAGAGTGCAAGCAAGCAGAGCCAAGTTTCCTAAACAGGCCAACTTAGCAAGACCCTGTTTACAAAAAAAAAAAAAAGGCTGGGAATATGGTTAAGCAACAGTCAATTCCTGGTACCAAAAACAAAAACAAAAAAAAAAACAAAAACAAAAAACCACAAAAACAAAAGTAACCTGAAGTAACCTGGTGTTAACCAATTACTTATTTTTCTATTTTCTATCTCCCTGTCTTTGCCTTACAAAGAAAGTAACTTTGAGATGACCAATTTACTTCACGTTCTTCATTTCTGCTTTCTTCCACCCTTCTCTGCTTTTACAACTCCTCACTGACCAGCCCACTGGAGTACTTATACTATTTAATGGAATGAAGTGCTGGAAAACAAAACCAATCAAGATCTTTAAATTTGCCTTTATTTATTTATTTTTTTTAACAATTTCATCATTTGAACAGGTACAAACATGCTGTGAGAAGAGAAGGAAATGGTTCCATCAGAGCCTGAGGCTCACATTCCTGAACAGTTCCTTCAACTTTTACTCAAGCAAAGGAATGAAACTTATCTCCTTCTGCCAGGCATATTGGGGAAATGGAGCAAATAATAAAGAAAATAAATAAAGTGAAAGTGACACCACCTCTGCCACATTGTGAGGCTTTTGAATGTATATATGCAGCTGGTACAAAGGTCAGTCCCAACTTTGAGCCTGGCTAGATCAATGAAATGGTTCTGAATCCTTTTTTCATCAGGAGTGAAAAGGAAGCCATGTCTGACTCTTTTAAAACAACAACAACAACAACAAAACGGCTACCTAAATTAAGGCAGCAAGTAAAATTATTATTCGCTTAATGTTTTATACCATTAGCATTAGTTTTGGATAAATCTCTCACATGCAGATACAATGTCTCAGGCACTTGCACAATGGACTTATCACTAGGTATGTGGCTTTGAGCAAATTACTTCTTTTTTTTCAGTTTCTCTATTAAAATCAATTAATCAATAAATAAATGTGTGAAATACTGCATGGATGTTTGGAAGAATATATAAAACACAAGAAAACACTTAGCATATTACCTAGCATGTATTAAGTATTTAATGAATACAAAGCATTACCTTTATCCATTCTGTATCTAGAATTTTCTAGAATTTCTTTTGATAAACATATTCCCTCTCCTCTTTTTAGTAACAGACTATCCAGTTCTAGGTAGATTCATGGTTACTCCACAAAAGGCCACACTTGCCAGCTAGGAATGGACATAATTCTAAATTCCATTCCATGGGATATGAGCAGGAGTGTGGTGTGAGACTCCCCTGAAAGAAAGAATCCTGCCCTCCAGGCTCTCTTCTCTCAGGCTAAGATGTGGATGTGAATATTTTTTAACAAGTGACACAAACACCACCCTAGGGAATAGTGGATCAGAGAAGAAGGTGCTGTGATGCTGGAATAGTTGACATGCACTTTCCTCCTCTCCAGATCTTTTATCAGCAGGGACACTCAGGGACTTTTACCAGCAGGCTCAAGAAAAATAAACGCTCTATTTAAGCTATAATGACTTGATTTCTGTTAAAGTGGCCATATCAGTTGAACATAGCCTGACTGTAATCCCAGCTACTCCAGAGGCTGAAGCAGAAGAACTGCAAGTTCAAGGCTAGCCTCAGCAACATAGGGAGATCCTTTCTCAAAATAAAATAAAAAAAAAAAAAAAAAAAAAGACGTGTGATGTTGTTCAGTCAAAAAGCATTCCTATGTTCAATCCCAGTAACCACTCAAAAAAGCAAAAGTGGCCAAATCAACGTTGTAACTAATATATTTACTTAATTTTAACTCATAAATGCATATAGTCAAGCATCTTGATATGCATGACCATTCCTGTCCATACTGATGATCATTCATTTGATGCTAAATCCTTGTTAAGGGAAGACAACCTCCTGCTGCCTAAATTATAACACCAGTCACTGGTGGTCTCTGGGTCCAGGAAATGGATACTTGGATAACAACTAACTCCAGATGAACTGGTTGCAGCCTGCCAGGGAGAGAGCTAGGGCTTTCACTCCTATAAATATAATAATGGACCACCAGGTTTTGAAGAAGCCAGATGGAAGTGGAGGCTTCCACTGACAGTGTCCACCTACCAGTCTGAGGTAGTTCTGTAGCATCTGAAGAGGGATCATGGATGCATAAGTCACACTACTGAGACAGCCTTCTTGGGGACCTGTATAAGAAACAAATATAGAGAAGGAAAATTAGCTCTTCCTTGTTAAGTAGAGATGGTCAAAATGCAACGAACCTATCATCAAAGAAAGAACATGTTTGTGGACATCTATAGGCAGAGCTGACATTTGGTCAAGAAACACCAATGTGCCATCATTTCCCTGAAAGTCTCCTAGGTGACAGTAACCCATGATGAAAAAAATCAAGAGTACTCTTTGGAGGTTGCCTGAAATTGGGGAAGGACTAATTGGTGGGGTCCTCCGGGAACCTTTTTTTGGAGGGGAGGGTACAAGGGATCAAATCTAGGGCACTCTATCACTCAGCTATATCCCCACTCCACTTTTTATTTTTTTTATTCTGAGACATGGTCTACTAAATTGCCAAGGCTGGCCTCAAAATTACAATCCTCCTGTCTCAGTGTTGCAAGTCTCTGGGATTATGGATTTGCCCCACCACTTCTGGTTATCTCTGGGTTTTTCTAATAAAAGGTACAATGACATTAGCAGAGCCAATGGTCAGTGTGATATCACCTGAGAATTCGGAGACATGGCTTTTCATTTTTCCTTCTCTTAATCAAATGTTTCCAAACAACAACAACAACATTTAATTGCCTCACAGTGGGAGTGTCGCATGCATGACTAGAGGAGGTAGGACAACATGCAGACTGTGAACCAGTCATGAAGCAAATACTCCTTGAATGTCACCTCAACTTGGAACATTGTTACCTGACAGAAGCACAGTGACCTGCTCTGCCTTGTTCTTCTTCATGAAGTCCCATGGGGACTGGGTGAAGCTCTGACCAGTGGACCACGGCATATTTCCTAGTTTAAACAAACAAAATAAAATGTCAAGGATTACTTAAAAAGTAATGTTTTCATAATGCTAAACACACATCCTCTGTGAGAACTCAAAGGAATCCAGAGCTTATGTTGTCCACAGCACAAACAGAACATGTTACAGGCCACACAAGGGGTGAACTCTCTAAGAATGTTTTGAAGGTCAAAAGGAAGGTGTCCAATTGACAGACTTCTTAAAAGTCATCCTGAGAAGGGATTGAAAAAGGTATCAAGAGAGCAAAAATATAGACACATATTTCTAGAATCAAGTTCTCAAAAGCAAAATGCTCATAACATAAAAACCATTTCTGGATTCTTCCAATGTCTGATTCACAAAGCCCAAGCACTGTGGATGAGATATCAGATCCTTTATGATTTGTCCCTGAATCCCTTTCCAACAAAAAGGGATTCCAGGAAAAAATAAAAAGATAATTTCAGATGCTCAGAAAAGGGCTAGCTTTCTCAGATTCAATCCTCTGCTAACTTCTGCTCAGAAGGGCTTCTACTTCATGCATGTCTTTTCTAGGGAGGGATTAGCATTGAGTATTTTTTCATCTCTACCCTTCCACAGACCACTTCTTTCAAAAGTCTATTTTCAGCATATTCATGCATATACCTCATCAAGAATTCTGATTGTTAGCCTGATGTTCCTTTAGTCTAGCTATGTATGTATGTATGTATGTATGTATGTATGCATGCATGCATGCTATCTATTTATGTATGTATGTATGCTATGGATACATTAAAATCACCTGTAAACACATATTAATGATAATAATATTATCATTACCAATTATCAAGTGTCTACAGCCAGCCGTAAGTACTTCTCCCACAACACTCAAAGTTTTTTCATTTGAAATGCTATTACAATATGCTACATTTCTGTGACAAGCATGAACACTGGAACAATCTGGCCTTAGCATCCATTATTCTGTTGACTAAATGTGTTCTTCACCGTCATCTATTTTTTAATAAAAATTTTAATTGAATAACAATGCTATACTAATAATCTTCTTAATGATCATGCCAAAGACCCATAAAATCAAGTTATCACAAATAATCTATTCTAAAATCTAGTGCTAATGTATATTTTGAAAGTGAATTGGCATATATTAGTGCACAGAATAATATACTTTCTGCTATAACAAGAACAATATTCTTTCTGATATAATATTAATAGGCATTTAAAAGTTCACCCTTCCCACAGTCTTGACCATTCTATTCTAACATGGAAAAGAATCAGACAGACTGATTTGAATCTTGTTTTGCTCCTTAGTTGTGTGACCTGAGGCAAGTCCTCTAATACCTAGTTAGTTGCACAATCAGGCTACTGTAAAAAACATTTATAAAGCATCTAAAATAGTTCTTGAAAAAGAGGCTTCCCATGGATGTTAGTTCTTCTGGCCCAGAAGATAAGAAACTAATCAGAGATTGCAACATTTTTAGGGCACCTACTATGCTCAGCAGAAAGAAAATCTCATCTTCTAAGTCCTTCAGAGTCTCTTTTGCTGTGTCTCTCAAATAGAAACAACAAGCTACCACTTTGACTCATCCCATGTGGGAGCTTGGAACGTATCTTCTTTAAAGCATTTCCAACCCTTGACTTCATTAGGACACTTGTTTTGGAGGTAAGATGTTAATGTACCCCAGTGCTCCTGGCACAGCTAGGGAAATTAGGGGCTGTGTTCAGAATTTGTGTTTTAGCAAGCAGCTGTGGTGTGGTTGATTTCTTGCATTTATCTAGAATACAAGTGTAATCACAAAGCCTCATCAAAGGCTTTCATGTTCTTTACTCTCTGGTGTTATTTGGGGCATAAAAGCATTTTTTTTATATTAACAGGCTACATTATGTAATGGCTATGTTGTGAATATTCAAGATTCTCAGCACTGGCAGTTGCCATAAAAGAGCACTAAATGTGCTGAATCAATGAACTGAGTATCAGGTTATGATGCCCACAAACATAAATAAAGCCAGCAATTTAACTGTGTCTCCACTGTAGGTCCGATGATACCTAGCGTGATGGATCGTACACTGTTTGCACTGAGGCCGATGTCGGAGTCCGTAGTGTTATTAAATGTCATGTCTTCCAGACGGCACCATCCATCAGAAGAGATTACTTGGAAATGATTTGTCAGGGCTTGATTCACTGCTTTTGAAAAATCATCCCATGATGTCTGTTTGCGGATATTTAAAGCACATATTGTGTTTTCACATTCAAAGTCATCAGAACCACAGTTGCCTGGTTGAATCTCACCCAAGGAAATCCTTAAGGGTATTTTAAGAGCATCTGTTAGAAGATTAAAGAATTAGAAGTCAAAAACAACAAAAAAACAAAAACCAAACTTGACAGAAAAAAAAAAAACAGCAAAAGTATTACATAAAATAAGCAGATATGAACATTTAAAAAATAAATTGAAGGACAGCTATCTTTTTTCTTTAAAGACATTAAATTGAATAGTCTTATACTGGAGTAAAGTCTGGTCTCCCAATCTCTTCACAGTCTCTTTGGAGGTATCCTGTATGAACTGTTTATCTTTCCTTGTACCTTTAACCTTTTGTACTCCACTGACTCCCTTTGAGTTTCAAATCGTTTTTTTTTTTAAATCTAAGAAAACTAGAGCTCCTCCTTGATCCTGAATTCTATCTATTCTCCTTATCTTTATAGATAATATGATGATCAAATCAGGCAATAGTTATACAGGCCAGAAAGTTCATGATGGCAGCTTGAGAATTCTACTGAGCTTGGTCTGAGCCTCAGGTTTGGCCTTTTCCTACCTGTATATATTTGGTGAATTGCCTTGAAATTGCTATACCTCAAATTATTCTTTAAAAACAACTAAGTAAACTTCTGTTTGAAATGGATTCAACACATTATTTGTTACATGGCAAACACTAGTAAATATTGGATAAATGATAAAAATGCAATAGGAACTTCTTAAGTGATCTTTCAATTTCTCTGACAGCACTTGACTGGGGCTCCACCACAGTGGGTGCCATCCCTGTGCACTTGTTTTTGATTTAAATTATATGTTTACTAAGAGTCATTTGTGTCTGTTCCCAGATCTTCTATGTCTGTTCAACTCATTACTGCAATTAGTGAATTTAATATTCCATAAACTGATGACATATGAGTTACTGTTATTATAAAAACTAGGTTGAATGCTTTAGAGACACTTAATGGAGTTACTAAAAATATCATTTAATAAGGTATAAATGAGAAAACTATATGCAGTTATAAAAAATGTAATAATCTCTGGACAGACAGTATCTTTGGTTTACTTTACAAATGTGTTTGAGTACTCAAACACTAAAAATCATACATGATACATTAAATGTACGTTTTGTTCTAACAAGAATAGGTAAAACTCAGAAGAACAATACTAAAGACTAAAACTCGGTGAAAGAATTACTTTGCAAGATTTAACATTACAATGCTTTATTTAAAGTATATATTTTTATGATCCTTTTCTAAAACTGGCTTTCATTAGCTGACCAGCTATTGGATTATTTTATCTTCCAACTGTCAGTTCTTACTTATCTTTCTTATCAGCAGCATTTGATGTAAGTGACCTCTCTCTGCTCCTTGACAGACTCCTACTAGCTTTCCTCATTGCTCATTCTTTTCCTTGATGTTCTTTCTTCACTATCTCTCCACTTTTTCCAGACTTCTTAATGACAGAGTGATTCAGAGAGTTTTATTTTAAAATCTTCTACATTCACTTCCTATTATATGCATCTGAAATGTTTCCCCCAAAGCAGAAAGTGTCGAAGGCTTGATCCTCAATACAACAGGGTTCAGGGGTGGGGCAATCAGGAAAGTCCTGAAGGCTTTGATCACAAGGGCTTTGATGCCATGAGTGACTGAGTCCACTGAAGGATTTATATTTTGATGGCATAATCAGGAAGTGATGGAAACTATAGGAGAAAGGGCCTATTTGGAGGAAGTGTGCCCTGGAAGATGATATCTTCTCCCTGGTTGCTCCCTCTCTCTTTCTGCTTCCTGGCCACCATGAGCTGAGCTGAGCAGCTTTCTGCTGCTGTGATGTTCTTCATCACCTCAGACCCAAAGCAATGGAGTCAAATAACATGGACTAAAACTTCTCAAACCTTGAGCCGAAATAAATCTTTCTTCCCTTAAGTTGTTTATCGCAGGTATTTTATCACAGCAACAAAAAGCTGACTAATACACTTACTTAATGATCTCATGTAGTCCTATGACTGAAAATATCATGGGTAGACTGCTGACTTTCAAACTTACATATGCAACTCCTACTCATCTTCCAAAATTCCTGCTGGCTTGACATAGATAGCCTCCCAGACATTTTAGATTCATACACGAAAAACTAAACTCCATATCCTCATCAGCAAAATCTGCTTCAACCTCTGACAACCTTCCTTCTTGTGACAGCAAGTCCATCCTGCCAATCTCTGAGGTTGAACAACTTAGAATTAACCCATGAGTTTCCTCTCTCACACTCCACATTCAATCCATTAGTATGTTCTGCCACTTTGATATTTCACACCTCCACAACCCAACCAAGTACTTCTCATTACCTCATCTGCTCCCATCCTAGGTTGAGCCACCATTACTGTCCCCTCACGTGGAATACTAGAGTCACATCCTAAATGATGGCCCTGATTTTACCCATGACTCTGTATGGTTTATTTGCAACAAAGCAGCCAATGACAATTAAAACATCCATTAGATCTGTCACTCTGATGGCTACCTTAAGTCCTTATCATGACCTATAAATTCCAACAAGATCAGGCCTCCAACCTATTCTATACTTTCTCCAACCTGTTTCCTGATTTTCTCTCATTATTCTAACCCAGTCACCTTGCCCTTCTTGCAGTTCTTCAGAAATTACCAGTTACCTCGAACCATTTGAGGACCTGCCTGAAAATCTTTACCTGAGATATCTATATATCTTCACCTCTTCCAAGTCCTTGCTTAAATGTTTTACCAGGAAGGCTACCTTCATGACCTTTTTAAAAATTAAAATCCACACCCAATCCCCCTTAGTCTTCAATGGCACATCTCACTATCTCATATTACCATGTAATGAATTATGTTTATTGCTCATTTCCTGTCCCTTAATGTTAGAATAGAACCTTCATGATTGGGGGTACAGAGTGGGAGAGTATTGGGGATTAAACTCAGGGGCACTTGACAACTGAGCCATAGCCCCAGACCTATCGTATTTTATTTAGACACAGGTGTCACTGAGTTGCTTAACATCTCACTTTTGCTGAGGCTGGCTTTCAACTTGAGATCCTCCTGCCTACCAAGCCACTGGAATTACAGGCGTGCACTATACCCTGTGGATAACAATCTTTTTTTTTTAACTCTGACTTATCCCATATGGTCGGGAGAGTGACTGACACTTGAGGAGCTCAATACTAAATGAATGAATAAAGGGAAGAATTCTGAATTTGTTTTTTCCCACTGTCTTTCCATATTATTCATTGTTTAAAATAATGAGTTTCTGGATTCAGAATGCATGAAACTTGTCTCCCTATGAGCAGCAACTTCCTATTTGCCAAATGTGGCTGTTTCTTTTTAACCCTTATACCCTAGAGAATTTGATAGTACTGAATTACTTCTTCCTCTCAGAGATAGTCTCCTAACTTCTTTTCTAATTTTGCTCAGTCTTTTGAGTCAGTTTTCCCTTCTATTCGGCTTTGGGGGTTCCTCTGGGCATGGCCTTTAATCCCCCTTTTTCCTCACCCTACACTTTGCCCCATCTAACAGCATACCTATGCCTTGATAACCATGACCCTCTCCTCCAGCCCTGCTCCCACTAGCTAATTCTGGCCTGTGTTCTTTCTGACTTGGTACCAGTCATGTGCCCCCTCCTCCTACAGCATCCTACATAAGATGTTATTTCTACATTTCTAATCTCTCACTTACTTACTTGCTTATAATCATTCTTCAGAATTCACAGCAATTAAGTCAAAACTTACCCACAGGATTGAGTCACAAGGAATATAAGGCCTTTTATGACCTGACTCTAGATTGAACCCAAGGACACTTTAACACTAAGTTAACCCTTTTTATTGTTTAAGACAGGGTCTTACTAAGTTGCTTAAGTCCTTAGTTGCTGAAGCTGACCTCGAACTTGTGATCTTCCTGCCTTAGCCGCCCTTGCTGGGATTACAGGTGTGCACTACATGCCTGCCTCTATATTATTGTATTTTTACAGTTCATGTATTTTTTCCTTCCTTGTGAGATAAAATAATACAAATCTATGTATAAGATTGAAGGTTAAAACATTATTTTAACTTTTAAAATTCTGTTCATCCTTGAGTTATTAAAACAGCTGGTAAAATGGATGGGTTGGGCAATAATCTTGATATAAGTCATAATATTTTATTTGACCTGGCATTCCATATTCATAAACCCACTAGTGAGCCTTTCATGAAATGTGCTAAGGAGACTATACTTTTGGAGCTGAAGGGGACCCAAGAGATTATCAATTATACATAGATACATAGGCAACCAGGCGTCAGGAGAGAACCCACGTGCCTCTCTCAGAGGATCAGCTGATGCAGAGTACCCAGTGGGATTTCACCCACCCTGGCAAATCTAACGTCTAGAACAACAATCTAAGTGAGAAGAAAAAAAGCAATTAATATTTAGAGAGCTCTCCTGGATTAGTCAGTAGAATACAAGAAAGATCTAGCATTATCTGAATGGCAAGTTGTTCTGTAATGTCATTCTACATGGAAAGAAGAAATAATTGCTATATCTATCATCAATAAAATGTTTTTGCATTAGCAAGGGTTCAAAAGAAGTTAACAAGGGAATGAGAAAATTGTACTTGCAATAATGTATTTCCCATTATCCCAAAGGCCCCTGAGGCATAGAGGGAGGATGAGCAACCAGCTTTGAATGCCACTCACTCAGATTCTCCAGCAAATGCTTGCAGTCATCTGTGGCAACATCATGCACAGTCCGATTGCACTTGTCTCTCTTTTCCGGCTCGAGCCCTCCATGCCTACACAAGATTTCTAGGCAGTTCTGCAAAGACAAGACCTCTATTACCTTCACGTCAAAATGAATTAACTTGAGTGCAAAACCCAAAGGAAAAGCCAGTTGCTTGTGGCAAGCCAATCAAGAATTCACAGCTAGAAATCTTATTTCAATTCCAGCAACCCAAATAACCAAACCGGTCTCAGATTAATCTAAATAATGTCTAGAACTGAAAAGCAAAGAATGCTTCATTTATGTAAGTTTTTTTTTTTAAATCTGTGCTGAGGATGGAATCTAGGACCTTAAGCCTGTCAGGCAAGTGCTCTACTACTGTGTATATTCTCATCCCAAAGAGTCCTTCTTTTAAATGGGAGTCATTGCTCTCAGGGAAGGCTCTTAGGTTTGAAGAATAACAACAAAAATTCTTAGGCTGGGGTTGTGGCTCAGTGGTAGAGTGCTTGCCTGGCATGTGTGAGACCCTGGGTTTGATCCTCAGCACCACAAGTAAAAAACAAAGTAAAAAATCCATTGATGACTAAAAAAATGATTAGCTCATTAATTGCTGGGTTTGCAGAGTGAAATTAAGAATGAAACTGACTTTTCAAGTACCCTTTCATGGTAATTTGATAATATGAAGCAAAAACACTGCTATCATTGGATGCTCCCTATTGCCTTCTAGACTACAAACTGCCTTCCTAAAGTGCAGGGCTCCAGTAATTCTTTCCCAGAGTTCCCATAAGCACATTTGTAATTTGAGAACTTATGCCACCCTACTTACTTATTTTAAAAACATGAACATCATGGTTGAGTTAAAAAAAATCATTCCCAATAGATATTAATTAAAATTCTGTTCCTTTTTTCAGCTTTTTGTCCTACTAAGCTGCTTAAGGAAATCTTCCTTCAAAAACTATCAGTAACTATTACGTGAAAGGTCTTAGTCCTCATAATTCTGCAAATGCAAATTACAAGACAATATACATATAGATGTAAGTTTCATACTTTATATACAACCAGAGATATGAAAAATTGTGCTGTATATGTGTAATAAGAATTGTAATGTATTATGCTGTCATTTTTTTTTTTTAAAAATCAATTAAAAAAGAATTTCATAGCAGGATATTATATCAGGGTATTTAACAAAAAAATAGTTCTACTAGAGCAACTGTTACTAATTCATATTTTGTATACTGATTGTCCACAAGAATATGTAGAAAACTGAATAAAACAGAAACAATGAGAAGGAGCTAAAAACTAAACCAAGTAATGTCCTCCTCCTCCTCCTCCTCTCATTCTCTCTCTCTCTCTCTCTCTCTCTCTCTCTCTCTGAGTTGTGCTTATATGGGCATGGATGGGACTGACACTTCAGACAACACAGTAAATCAGGCAGTCTGCAAAGCCTTCTCTAATCTTCCTAAGCACCCTTTTTTTCTGCTGAGTAAAATAAATTTTTTCTTTTCTAATATAAAATGTTTTTCTTGAAGTATAATATTCACATAGACAACTACATAAGTGCACAGGTTGAAGCACTATCAAAAGGGAACAAACCTGTGGAAGGAGCACTTTGCTCCTTTCAACCTCTAGCCTCTCATCCCCATAACTTCTGTTCTGATGTCTAAATCAGCGATTGGTTTAACCTGTTTTTGAATTCCATATAAATAGAATTGTACTTTAGGTATACTTTTATATTTGGCTTCTTTAATTCAACATAATGTCTTTAAGATTTATCCATGTGTTAGGAGTGGTCATAATTCAACTTGCTTTTTTAAAAAAAAACATATTACTAAATGGTATTCCATTACGTGAATACTTATCCATTCTCTTGTTGAGGGACATTTGGGTCCACTATGAACACTGCAATACATGTCCTGTGGTCCACAAATATTGAGTATATGTACTTGTGCTGAATCACTAGGGTACAGGTTGTGGCATCTGCAAGAGCTTTTGAAAGTGACTGTACATTGGTACTCCCATGAGTATGTGTGAGTTCCAGTTGCTTCATATTACCTCCAAAACATACTTTTAGATGCAATACTGAGTTCACAGAAAAATATAAGAAATCTCTAAGTCACACACAATAATAATAATAAACTGAAATAAAGTGAAATTTGAACAGAAAACCAGTGCTGGTCTACAGCAGAGCTGATACACAGAACCTTTTTTGGACAAGAGACTAAGCACTGGTACCTACATGTAAAAAAGGGACTCAATCAGAGAGACTGTAAGAAAAATCAGCCTGTCTGAAAAGGGAACTTACTAGAGCATTTGTTTCTTATTGCCTGCTCCTACTCAGATTGGAGGGATCTCTAAGACTTGTCATCAAATTTTGGCTTTCATGAATCTATCTATGGTTTAGATTTAAGAAATCACTGTTTATAAATTAGCTGAATTCAGTCAAATGTATAAATAACAGTTCTTATCAAGCTGTTATTACTAATTATATAAAACCAGCAAATGAATAAGGTAGTTACTGCAAAAGACACACAATATTGATTGAGAAATTCATTCTAAGAGACTTAAACAGAATACAATCTGAGAACTAAGTTTTGTTAATTCCCAAGATGAGAAGAGATAAAAATAACACATTCGTTACACAAGTTAGTATTAGTAGCAAGAGTATAAGAGTCAAAACAGACCTAGATACTAATCCTAACACTACAAATGATAATATCTATAGCCAATGGTAAATCTTTTAACATTTTCTGCTGCAGTTTCTTTATCTGTGTTTCAAATATCTGTATCTTATAGGATTGTTATACGGCTTAAATGAAAAGATGCATACAAAGCTCTTGTGTTTTTGGCACATATTAAAACTCACAGTATTTATCACCAGCCCTCATTTATTAAAATCAACATCATAATCACTAATTGGAAAACAAGTACTAACAGTACTATTAGTTAATTGATTAGATGTTACAAGCACATGACAAATATCACTAGTATCAAGATGATTCTAAATGATGTTACTTCACATTACAAACAGCAATGACAAAAGGTGCAATATACATTTGCAATTCTCCTGAATTAAGGTTCTTTGATTTCTGACTTTCAAAGTGGGTGGTTTCTAATTTTTGTCACACTCAGGTAGGGCAGTGACATCCTCTTAAAGGAAACGTGAAATGTCAGTGCTCAAGGGTAATGCATATCCAAACACAGCTAGCTACAAGGGGGAACTCTACAGTGCTATGCTGATTCTGTAGGGAACATAAGGGAGATAAAAATTTTGACTCAGGTGGCACTTAATAGCAGCAGCTACAGCAATGATTTGAGCACAAGTTCTAGGCACTGTTCTGGCACTTTGCAAGTAGAGACATGCATGGCTTAAGGATGGGGATACATTCAGAGAATGTGTTGTGAGGCAATTTCATGTTGTGCAAATACCACAAGGAGTACTTCCACAAACTCCTATGGCTATGTTATCACTAGGCAATGTAATCTTAAAGGACAACCATCATATAGATTTTAGTCAGCTGGTTACTAAAATGACATTATGTGGTTTAATGCTTATTTACTCCACATTACAACTTCATGGAACAGGTACTAAGCACCTCTGTGCCAGCCACTATGTTAAGGCTGTTCAGGTCCTTAAGAACAAGATTCCATGTCCGTCCCACAGAGTGTCAAAGTGTCATAAATAGTTGGACATGGAGAAAATACAAAAAATGAAGGGATGCATTAGCTTTCTATTATAATAACAAACACTTGAGATGATCAACTTAAAAAGAAGAAAAGTTTATTGTGGTTCAGAGTTTCAGAGGTTTCAGTCTGTAGCCAGCTGGCACTGTTGCTTCTGGACCTGTAACGAGACAGGAAACCATGGTTTGGGGCACATGGTAGAGTAAATGATGCTCACCTCAGAGTGGCTAGGAAGCAAAAAGAGAAAGAGGAATAGCCAACATCCTAATACCGCAAATGATTGGGAGATGCTGGAGTAGGCCCCACCTCTCAAAGGTTTCATCACCTCCCCAAAGTGTCATGAGCTAGGGACCAAGCCTTTAACATGGGCCTTTGGATATGAGAGTAAGCTTTTACTTTATGGAGGAGTAGGAGTAGGGACAGAGGGAGAAAAATACTTTATGCTTTCTCCTGTTGGGTGGGATTGTATGAAGAGGAGAAATGCTGCAGGACTAGTCACTGGGAATGAATTTCCAGGGGGGCAAAACTGGATAGGGTGTGCTACCCCGGAATCTAGACGGATGAGTTTAAGCTCAAGTCCTGTTAAGTCCAATAGAGATACCCCTGCTGTGACAGACTTTAAAGTAGTGACTTAGGCTTCAGTTTTCCCTTCCACTCACATTTACAACCCATTTTTGGGTGACCACTGGCTCAGAAAACAAGTGAAGGGGTCCATTATTCCAGTGAAGGGCAGAAGAGATATTGAAGGTATATTAAGATATTAAGCAATCTTTGCCATGGTCTTTTAATGAGAGCTTATAAGCAAGGAACCAGATTAAACAGAAGCCCCAGGTTCAAGGAGTAAGAGATAAAATCAAAGTCAAGGCAGGGAGCCAAGAGTTTGAGATTGGGCAGAGGGAGAGAAAGCAGAAAGAGTTTTGAAATGTGCAGAAAAGTGAGAACAACCTGGAGGTGCGGGTGTATTCAGGGCTTTGCAGGGTAGGCTTCCTTGAAAGGCAGGGGAGATGCACACTGTTAAGATGGGAAGTAAGGGCATTAGTGAGAAGGTACATGGAGGTTTGAGTGGCCAAAGATGAAACTGACTGGAATTGACTATGAAGGGCTGAGAACTGGTGTTCAGTGCTTTTCTGTAAGTACAAGGATGTGTTCCAGGCAGAATTGCCATGAATGTCTTTTCTAAAAAGCCAAATGTTGCATGTAGGAGTCATGTTGGAAAGGAAGAGGATGATGAGAAAGGGACCAGTTATGAAAGAACCATAACAGCCCAATCATTTATTGATTCAATAAGCTATTAGTGCTTCTGGGCCAGAGACTGCTGGGAACAATATACACAAAGATGAAAGAAGTGTTTTTTTTCAGAGGAGGTGGAAACAGAGAGAGGCACATAAACAATTACAATAAAGTAGAAGCCCTAA